CAAAGGCAGTCATCCGGGGGTTGCGAGGTGATAAACAACATGGAAATACTGGTCAAAGAACAAAAATCTCAGCATTTATTTCTCCTTCAGGCTGTGGATTATTATTATTTTCTTCTTTTTCCCCTCCCCACATCCAATCCACTCGGTTCCTCGTCCTTTGGGGAGCACTAAATTCATCATGCGAATGTAAAGCGGGGCTTGTGCGGGGAAGGGAGCTGCGGTTCGCTCGAGCAGACGCATGCAAGGTCACAGGCAGCCTCGCCATAAATTACAGCGTGTCCCACCGTAAACAGCAACAGGAGAGGGGAAGCGCGGCAGCTTCAGGGGCAGGGGGCCGCAGGGGCCGATACATAACCTCGTGACAAGTCAAACAACTCTCGGGGTGTTCACTTGCCAGAGAAATATTTTTCACATCCAATCCATTAGGCAAACAAGATGAAAAAGTATTTCCTACTTTGCTGAAAAAATACCAGGACTCAGTATAAAGCGTGCCTTAAAAAAAAAAAAAAAAGAAAAGAAATTAAGTGTGACCATCTATAATGTTTTTTTCCAGCGGCTCTGACAGCCTTCCAGGCATCCTGGCCATGCAGGGAGGGAGCTGATGCTTTAAAGAGCTCTAACAGTTTCTCGCTTTTTGGCCCGTCCTGGTGTTCCAGGAACAGTAATGAGTCAAATTAGTTGGAAAGAAACAACCCCAGAATTCGCTTCCCTCCCTCCAAACCCCGCTTCACTGAACCATCGCTGCTTCTCTTTTTCCCCTTCTCTTTCCCTGCCAGGTCGGTGGGGAACGTGTTTCATGACACACTTTTTTTTAACCTATGAAATGATTTTTTCAAACAAGAAGATCCTCCCAACGTTTGCCTTTCTCACTGGCTGGCTTTCCTGATAGTTTTGGACAAGTGAAAATCCAAAGGGAAAAGGCTTCTTCCAACAGTTTTGACCACTTCTATACCGGTGGCCGTCTCTGATGGGGGACGAGAGGGGAGCAGTGGAACAGCAGCTTCGCAGACTGGCGGCTCCTTGGGAAGAGGCAGCCCTCGACTGACCGCTGGAAAAAACGAGCCTGTCGAAGAAAAAGGATCACTCCCAAACACGAGTTGTCTTTCTACTAAATTTTAATTTCTTTCTTTTTTTTTTTTTTTTTGACAAAGACATCTAAATTATACACTGAGTAACAACATAACCAGATATTGCAAATACCCCTTTTTGGTGAAATTCAAAAAGGGAACATAAAAGAAAGAGCTTGTGTGGACCCAGCCAGCCCAGGGGATGCAACAGCCGCCACCTTTTGCTTTTGCAGAAGAGCGAGCCCTGTGGGGCAGGGGGGAGAGTCTGAGTGGGCTGGTCTCATCCCAGTACACTTAATAAAAAAAGCATGGTGATCAGTTATATTTTTGACACAGAAAAAAGTCATTAATGTGCAAGAAGCAGTATTGGTGGGGGGAAAAATGGGAGAAGATTGCATGAGGCTTTGGCAATCATTCTCCAAGGGCAAGGAGGGACGTTCTCCATCAGAGCTGCAGTGGAGGAACGCGGCCGCAGCCGAAGGAGGACACGAGTCCCCACGCCCTGCGCTCGTGGTCGGAGCAGGGGCTCGGCCCCACGTTTCCTGACGTGCCCTTGGAGAATTTCACTTCTCCATCATCTCTCCGCTCCAGAGAACACAAAGGGGCAGGAGAGGCATCTTTCATCTCCCGCAAAGGTAAAACCAGATTTAATGATGTGAAAGTGAAACAACACAAACTCCCCGCGGGAGGGGAATTAACCCCTGCGACAAACTTCTCGAGGCCTGGGGTGGATCTGTCTGTGACTCTGAGCCTTTAAATCAAGGCCGGGTGTCTTCCTACCAGAGGTGCTCTAATTCAACCGCAAGTCACCGCGCCAGCGGGGTGGCGTTTAATGGGCTGTGTTATGCAGGAGGTCAGGGGAGAGGAACATAACGGTCCCGCCTGGCTTTAAAAGCCTATGAATCGATGCGATGTGTGGCAGAGCTCCACCCATACCAATGAGACAGCTTGCTTCCTCCCAATCTCACTTAAAGGAGGGCAAAGCAGACAGAGTTGGAAGGACAAAGCCTCGTGTAGGCAATTCCCACAAACCAAACAGGAGCTGAAGGGCTGGGAGAGCAGTAGGGCTTTTGCTGAACGGCGTTTTGGCTGGCCCCGGCCAGTTTTACAGGTGGTATTTAGCCAGGTGCTGCTGAGGGACAAGAGCCCTGCAGGGAGTATAGCGGATGTAAATGCATTCAGATAAGGAGCAGCAAGTGAACAGAACCTCAAATCCTTATACATTTTCACCAGGTTAATGCACAGCGAGATGTTCACAATACAAGGAGCATTTACAGCCATCACTGCAAGGTGATTTACTTAAGTCATGATCGTTTTAACCCTCCACCTCCATCCTCCCAGCATGGCTCGCTCTATCACGGTCTTCCTTTCTTACTACCTGGCGCAGATAGATAAACCAAATTGATCTACTGGATCACAGGTGAAGCTCTGGCTGCTACAGATGCACTCTACCAATACATGTAGCTACACAGAAGCATAAGGAATGAGCCAGCAAACACTTCTGGATCCTGAGTTCAGTAAGGCAATTCTTCCTTCCAAACTGGAGCGATAGGAAAATTACTATATATTAATTTTACACACATTTCCAAGTCGAACCAACGTGAGCCTAAAAAAAACCCAAATTACCCTCCTGGATGCTTTTTGGATCCAGAAAGCTAACTGTGGCACGGGTGGGGTGTCACAGGGTAAAAGTTTGCCACTGGTAAAAAAAGTAGGGAGCAGGGAAGCACCAACTCAAGTCCCTTGCAAGTGAGAAAGCTCAACACCCGAGCCCCCAAGGGGACTTTGCTCTGCCTGGGCCATAGGAGGGGTACCCAAGCATTTCACTCTGCACCTGACATGCAGTGTGGGCAAATCCAAAGCTCGGGAGTATCTGCAAAGCTCTGCCACTCAGCCAGCACAAAGCATGCCTTCAAGCAAGGGCTCCAATTCTTTACAGTGCTTGCATCAGGCAAATGCATTAATTGCAAGGAAAAGGCAATGCTGGGATGCGTTTCTCCTCCTCGGGCTGACCCAGGAATGTGCGGTGCTCAGATTCCTGGGGTTCCTGATAAGCCAATGCAGCTGGGGAGTCACTGAATGAGCTATGTTTAAATGAACATCGCTCCTCATCTTATGACTTCTTACTCAATCCATGCAAGGATGGAGCTGTGTCACTTTGTGTCATTTGTGATTGCTTAACAGCTCACTTCAGCCTGCTCTTCTCCCCCTCCCAGTCGTCTGGTTTGTAAAGCAAGGCTGTGCTACTCTGGCATGCATGTCCTGCCTCAGTGCCGGAGACAGATGCACTCAGAGGGTGCTGACTCACGGACGCAGGCAGATTAAAGTTGGATTGCTAAAGCAGTTGCTGTCCCAGCTGTCCCTCTGCCCCCAGCCACAGCAAAGACAGCTGAACTACACGTAGATCAACCCCTGAACAGCTAGTGTACATCCTGATATATGGGGGGAACCCGGATTCAGCCCCAGATGATTTTAATCTGCCGGGCGGTAACATAGGCGGCCAGGGGCTGCTTCACGTACAGTGCAGATGTTTCTGCCGTGAGGTGGAGACGGCCAGGGGAAGGGAGGAGCAAAGAGCTGGGAGCTCCAGGGGTGTCAGCCGTCTGCCTGGGTCCATGAGGCAACTCGCTGACGCGTGGTAAAGCCACATGCTTTAGTACATACAGCTTTCCCCACACTGCCCGCCGGCCCGTCTCCAAGAGGTGGAAGGGGTAATGCAGTCCCTAGTCATTCTCTGGCCTTTCGCAGGCCGGCAGCAAACAAAGCTGGCAAGCAGGGCAGTGGGATTATTTTACCATCTGTGCCTTAGAAACTGGCCCAGGAGTCACCAAGCTCGCTTCATGCAGGACATGGCTGCTTTGGTGTGCTAATGACTCCTGCTCGCTGTCAGCTGGGGCTAGATTTGAATTGGGGACGAGGAGGTGGAAAACACATTCTCGTTCCTATTTCAGCAACTGCATCCTTTTAGAGGAAAGCCAGTTTGGGGAAGAATGAATCCTCGTTTTAAAGAGTGCTTCCCATCTGCCGTTCAGCAGGCTGGGGGACCTCAGGCCCTGGGCAGCCAGCCCGCTGCGGGGCAGTCCCCCGGGTCCTCCAAAGGGCTCGGCGAGGCCTGCCGAGGAAGGGGGTAGGAGAATATATTTTGCACATTTCGAAAAGGAAACCTGGGACCTCGTATCTCATTCTAGAAAGTAATCATGGTCTTAATTGCATTTTGCTGCAGAGTTGCCTTAACATCAAGGGAAAATCAACAGGGATTGTTCAACATCAAGACTAATCTCACATATGGAACTCACTGAATGTAGGAACCACGTTTTTGCTGGCTCAAGGTGAAATGCTGGGCTAAATTCTCCTTCAGCTGCGAGAAAAGCCCTAGGCATGCTCATCCTGCATTATTCCAACTGTAGAGAGCTTCAATTATACACACATAACCCTTCTCTGCCTTCTACGGCGGTGTCGCAATGCAACAGTGCCTCGTTATGATCAAACTCCTCTTTTATGGCTATAGGAATACGTGGAAGTCTTCTACCCTCATTACACAAATGACTCCTTAGCAGCTTTATTTTAAGAAATTAACCCACAATTGGTAACACAACCGCATTTTATCTGTCACTGAGGGGAAGCTGTGACTGACACCTGAGCGTGTCCTCAGCAACCGCAAACCCGCACGTACAGGGCAGGTCGTATGCATCTAAGCAACTACAGTAACTCACCACTCCCTCTGCTCCACACTGAATCACAGTCTTCCTTCTGCTTACAAACTTGCTTGCTAATCAGACATTTAATACTATTTATGCATAGGGAGGAAATATATAATTCCTTTATTGGGATAAAAAACGATACTAAAGAGCAGGTCAAGTTCCAAATCCAGCAGTAGGTTTTAACCGATGTTGTTCCCTTTTTTTACTCTCTTTTTTTTTTTTTTTTTTTTCTTTTAACAGCTGTAGCTGTGCACAGATGGAAAAACATTTGGTCAGAAAGCAGCAAATTAGTGTTTTCAGGCTAGAATTCTGCTCCCACCGCTCCTCCATTTCCATGCAGCTCAGAACGCTTTATTTCTTCTTAGCATTGACATTTTTGCACACCCAATTCATGCCATCCTTCAGACAGAGAAAGGTAATGTTAGTCAAGCGAAGGGAAAAGGAATCCCCCAATCCCACCCGACCGCCGTTCTGCAACGACCGTGTTCTGCCTCCTCATCATCAGACCCCGCCTGCCCTCTGCGCCCAAAACCGCCCTGGGTAAAAAAACAAGTGCTTCATTGCTGGGTAGATGTTGTCACACAGAGGTTATTAAATCTTTCATCTGACCATAAAAAGTATCATCGTCTCATCACGTTGCTATGCGTAGGTCCTTTGAGGAAGGATCGCTTTGCAGTCAAGGTACGTCAGTGGCAGATGAAGGCTCAGTTCCAGGTTCAGCTATAGATGATTTGTGTAACCTCGGGCAAGTCATCGTATCTTTGAGACCATGGATTTTAGGGGGCTGTTTGTTATACAGTCAGCTCCCTATTAAGAATACGGCTCTCATTGTCTGCTCAGCTGCCAGCCTTGAAATCCAGATCCACAAAAGCCACCGAAATAACTGGATCTGGACCCTGCTCCCTGTGCCGCAGGACCCCCCCAAAAAATAGGCCGTGAGGGGTTGCACAGGGGTTCAGTGAGAATAGATGTGGTCACATTTTAAGAGGCCAATATACTCTCCAGGGTATTTCTGTAAAAACGTGTGCGTGACATCTCTGACCACTGCAAGCAGGACGGTAACACTTCTGCCATGAATACCCGAGTCATGAGTTTATTGCTGAGATCCCAGAATGGGATATGCTATGAAAGGGCAAAGCGACATTTTATCTGCTCCTGTCACTTATCTATTGTGAGATGCGCAGAATGGAGTGCAAGATGCACAGCCTCCTCTTATTTCTGTCCCGTCAAATCCACTACCTCTACCCTGCCTACAAGGTATCTCTGCCGACAGAGAGCCTCAGGGCAGAAAGAAGGCAGGTAGAGTTTTGTGGATGGAAGGAGAGTGGCACATCTTTGTGCTTGGAAATCGGGAAAATGCCACCTTGGAGTTCTGGAGGGGGAATTTCACTGCATTATGTTCAATGGTCATTTTTGGATCATTAAAACGATAGTTAGACCCTAAGAAAGACCAGAGCCTTTGGGCCAGCATCATTGCTAGCCCCATGGTAGCAGTGTTGCTGGCTTCCTACGGTCTTGTCCCCAGACTGCAAAGAACCTCAGCTGCCCCAAGGACAGATGGCCAAAGGCACAGCATGGCAGGCCCTTCGGGTGACCTGAGACCCACCGCCGTGCCTCCATGTTGCCCCTCAGCCACGGAGGTGGTGGCCACATCAGAGGGGAGCTAAAGAGTTAAGAGAGAAGAGAGGGAGCCCTCAGGGCTTAATCAGAAGGAGAGAGGTTCTCACTTGAAAATACCAATTCACCTTGATAGCTGTGCAATGTGACACTTCTTATCTGAAGGGGAGCAGCAACTTTTGAAATCAGTCCTTGTTGCTGCATTAAATAAAGAATAAGCGAGCCCAGCTTGTGCTGGGGTGCACATGAGGCCCTACACTAATAACACTTCTAACTCTAACCTTGGGGAGGGTTGATGTCTCCAGTTTCATTTATTTATCTCCACAGCAGAGATCAGTGTAAAACAAATTGTCTGAAATCCTCAGAGCAAATGGGAAAAGACGAGAGGTAGATTCATTTTAAGGCCCAGTAGCTTTGTGTCTTCCCCTTTCAATAACACTGATAACCTAGGTGTAAAACATGTAATGCCTTAAGCAATCAATAGCGTGGTTTAAAGCTTATCACGTTAGAGAGAGAGGGAGCGAGTGATTCCCAGCATGAGGAATGCCAGGGCTTAACAATGGGGCTAGGAGGAGAGGTGTCAAGCCTTTGGCTTGATTGTGTGCTTTAGAAATCTGCATGATTGCCTGCAAAGAGTAAAAATAAATAAATAACTAAAAATGCTCCCACAATGATTTCAGCTTCCCCTGCCTCGGAAGCAATAATCACATTTGCACACATCATGGCATACAAGGCAAGCAGAGCTCCTCATTCATTTTGAATGTAGGTTTATTTGCTGAACCAGAACAGCTGAGACAGCTTAAAGTAATAAATATCAGCTGACACCCTCTGCTATTCAGCACAGTAATCCCAGAAACAATACATCACTGCAAAACAACAAACACGCATCCTATCTTCTACCTAATCTGACCACAACCTGAATTCACAGTGATTAAAACTCTGCCTGCTGCCATTCGGGAGCTCGGGAAGAGGAAAGACAGACCGTTTCAGCACCAGCGCAGCGAGGGTCATAAAGCAGAGTTTATGATGGGATTTACCATGGCTGGGAGCCTGGCTGCATCCAGCATATAACGAGGGCAAAAGAATGACATAGCAAAACACAAGAGGAAAGGTGAACTCCAAACAGGCTTGAAATACGTAAGTAGGTCACCGAACTTTTAAAGCAGGAATAGATTTTTAAAACTCTCTTCTGGCATGAGTTAATTGACAGAAAAAAAATCACATTTAATTGTAAGTATCTCCCTGCCTAACAGTCATAACAGGAAAATGAACATGCTCAGCTCTACGTGTGTCGTATCAGAGAGGCATGTGTGAGACACCTTCCTCATCTTCAGCCACACTGCAGCTACATACATAGCTTCTGGTGCAACTTCACTGGGGGGTGGGGGGTGGGGTGTGTGTTCTGCAGTGTCCCCAAATGCTTTGGAGAATAGCAAATGCAATGGACAGCAAAAGAAACTAAAAGTTACGTTTGCAGTTTTTCTACCTTAGGTTTGAAGCAGGACAGAGAGTTGGTATGATAGAGAAATCCAGGAAAGCTTCTACAAACACAAAGAGCTGCTATGGGAAAGGCATACGGGAAGGAGGAAACAGTGCTTCAAAGAGGCAAGTCCACGAGGAGTCAACTGTTGTCATCCTTTGTCCCTACATGCTCTGTCCCTATATCTGCATGCTTAAAAGATGGCTCTGTGCAGAAAGTACAATCCCTACAGTAACATTTCGATCTTGATAGATGTCCTTGCGCTGCTTTGTTGAGACGCAGAGACATTGGCAGGTACTCTGAGGATGGAGACGGATACAATATTAGTATTCCAGCCTCAAGTCAACCCTGGGAAAACTTAGGCAGGGAAAGATTTCAGATCTTTCAGCTTTGCCTCTCTTAGCTCCTTAACAAGCAGCTAGTAAACTTTACCAAAGCAAAGAGAGCGAACTCCAGGGAAGAGGATAATGCTCCTTGCAGAGAAATGCTGCTCGGCACAACCCCGCCTTGCTGCAGTCACATCTGCGACTGTGCCAAGGGAGTTGTACTCTAACGTCCTTTGGGAAAGGACTGGTAGAGCCTTCCCTGGGAGAAATAAAAAGTCCTGCTTGAGATTAGCCCACTGCTTGGTTATTCTCTGCATTATCAGCTTTGCAGCTATGGGAGTGAAGTAATCTGACTTCAAACACAGCGAACAAGTTCTTTCCGCCCCATAAAAAGCCTCCCGATTTCTGCTCCCCTGCAAGCCAGGGATCAGGAAAGGCCACAAACTTGTGACCCTTAACGTGACCTTAAGGACAGCAAAGCTTAATCCTTTCATGTAATCCTCTGTCTGCCATAACAAATTGGGTCAGGCAAGCGCAAAATTCTCCATCTCTAGCATTTTTGGTATGCGTTATTTTAACTGTCGCTTTCTTCTCCCTCTGCACAGCTAGGACTGTGCCTTCATTATCTGTCATTTCTTTGCACCTCCAGTCATCATCATACAGGCTGGCTTTTACAGGCTCCCACAAGTACATTATCCATTGTTTTTTGCCTGGGTGCAAGCTTTTCTTTTGTCCTTTGAGACCTTGTACCTCTGATGCAGCACTGTAGACTCCCTCCTTACACGGCTTAAAAAACACAAGACTTTGCCCTGTAATCTGGAAACATGGTTGCTTTTCCTCAATAAGCACCAGCTCTGCCTGCCCGAGAAGAGCTGCAGTCATCAAAACTGGCTTTAAATCACAAGTAGCCCCAGAACCTTGTTAAGATGTGGAAGATCCCCATCTAGCTTGCCCTGGCTATGACATCTTTAAGACAAAACCTAGCTCTCAGGATACAACATTGCCAGGGAGTCCTGTTCTGAATCTTGCCCTTATGAAAGTGCTAAATCACAGTATCGGCGTAACTTTGGTCCTGGGCTTCATTCTCAACTGGGTTGAAACAGCCAGGGAGCAGAAGGCAGCTCAGCCCTTCCCACAGTCCTTAGGGCCAGACCAGCTCTGGCATAAATTAGAGAAGTTTAGTGGCTACTCTCAGTTCCACTGGCTTTTAATGGTCTCCAGGGGTCCATTATGCTTGGGAGACTCCGGACACAGTATGCTGCAGCATCTTTCTGAAGGACGATTCCTCAGGGCAGGCTGAGCTCCTGCTGCCTTGATCGGAGACTCTTGCTTCAGACACGAAACAAGCTGCAGAGCACGGACCGCTCCAAAGCCTTGAGTCATGTTTAACACACACCCTGGCCCCTCAATAACACTTCCATCAAGAGGGCAGGCTGCAAAGCAGAGGAGTCCTGCCTGCTTTCTCCCCACCCTGGCTGGCTGGGGTGGAATGTACGTAGCTTTCACACGCCAAGGACTACAGTTGGAGATCTGGTCACGAAACACAACCCCAAGAGAGCCTATGTGGCACCAGAGAGCTGTTGTGAGGCAATAGTTCCCTTACATTTCTCTGTTGACATCAGCAATAACCTCCCTCGCTTGCTGTACCTGTGCAATGGCCTTGGTGTAAGCTGGTGCAGGACTCTGCTCCAGAGGCAGAGCCCAAATGGCTGTGGCGGTGAGAAAAGGCTTTCCTGCTTTCCCAACTAGGGCTGAAGGATAAAATCAGACTCAAGCAGACATTTTGCTTGAAAAAGCCTCTAAGCATGAGGGATGCCGCTCCTCCCTCGATGGCACCATGAAGTCTGATTAACAAGACAAGTGCTGCCCACGGTTACAGTCAGGAGGTAATAAAGTCTTCAGCTGGCGTAACTGGGGCTACCAGCTGGCATCCAGAGGACACTACATGGGGTTTCCAGTTAACCTAGTCACCTCTCTTCTGAGCCTGCCCAGGACATTGCTGGGCCCCTTTTCCAGAGTCCCCAATGGTTAATTTTAAAAGAGAAGATGACAATATGGATTCCCTCCTTAATTAACAGCTTTATTAAATAACCCATTTCAAATAATAGTTAAATTCTCTAAATTTATATCATTCTATTAACCATAATCTAATCTCATTAACCTTGAAATCCCCAGTCTTAACTACCCAATTCTATACACCACGGTGCTAGCAGCTAAACTAATTAAATGACCTTCAAACTATTTCTCCTTCATGTATTGGCATTATTTATCTTTGCTCATTGCTCTTCCTTCAAGCTATCACAAAAATCTTCCCCTACGAACTCTGTTCCTGCATGTACTCAGTACTAGATATGCCACCACTCTTCCTTGCAAAATCTGTCAGCGATGTCTCCAATTTTACTCTAGCTAATATATTCCATCAGCAGCGACAGTTAGTGTGCTCGCTCCTTGGCTTTCATTCTGAATACCTGATGCTTCCATGTCTTCATTTATTTTGCTGTCACTCGTTGTCATTTCTCAAAGAAGTCCTTAAAGCAGTGACCTGAGATTTAACTACACAGAGTTCCTGTTCTGAGCCACTGAGATATTATGTACCACGATCCTCACAAACATCTTTCTTAATCTCACTCTTTAAACAAGTTCTTCTTTGACTCCCCTAAATTTTGAGCATGTTGACCTCTCCTTAGAGTCCCAGGACTGAAGACACCGTTTCTTCCTGGGCTGATCCAGGTTTAGTTTAGAATCATAGAATCGTTTAGGTAGGAAAAGACCTTTCAGGTCATCAAGTCCAACCGTTAACCCAGCACTGCTAAGTCCACCATTAAACCATGTCCTCAAGCACCACATCTACCCATCTTTTAAATACCTCCAGGGATGGAGACTCAACCACTTCCCTGGGCAGCCTGTTCCAATGCCTGACTACCCTTTCAGGGAAGAAGT